CATGCGAGGTCTGTCTGTTGTAATAAATTTTAGTATCAGTGAAGTCACATCACGCACAACATGCAACATATACTGAGCACTGACAAACAGTCAGAATTAACCATTGACTAAACATTGTTTAGACTTGACATACCAAGCTGACAGTCAGTTGTCATTGAATGTTTCTCTTTTTAGGTATTTGATGTTACACACACACAGAAAAAAAATATTTCTTGGTGTAATTTAATTGAATTATGCACACATTTCCACTCATTTAAATTGCCATAATTTAACCTGTTTTAGTCAAATGAAACCTAAAGCAAAATTAATTTTGAACCAATGACGTCAAATTCATTTTATTTGAGTTACATTGTGACTTAAAGTTGCCTGGAACACATCTTTCACTTGTGGAGGCAATTCATCTCAAACATTTAATTTTGACAACCAAAGTTTTCTGTTATTTATTGCAGTCCAGACTCCTTTAATGCTTACTGTTGACTAAGACTGACCTCAGAACTAGCATTAGCACAGTTATGTCCCACTGAGTGAAGCAACAAACATTAATGGTGTTAATAAAGCTGCCACCACCCAAAACATGAATGCTACTCTTCTGCAAGGCAGTAACCCCAACATTCTTCTAAATCTTCAAACTACATAAAGGGTAAACGTTAACAAGTCTTTCTCGTAACTTAAATCACCTCAGATTACTTTTATTGTCACATTTTCCTCTCTTAAGGCAATTCCAAGCAAAACTACACATCCATTACACAGGAAGTTAAACCAACACAATTGCTTCATGTTGTCCCAACACAAAATGATTAAATTCATTAAAATGTTTCTTTACACACTAAAAAAAGATTCATTGGATTTACTCATTTTTAAGGTAAGTGGTTGCAAACAATTTAATTGGGCTGAATTTAAACAAACTAATAAATTTAGTAATGTTCAACTTTATTTGTATGTTTAAATTCAGCCCATATAGTGGGTTTCACTCTCCTTATAAATAATTTAGTAAATCCAATGATTAAACACAAATTGTCCCAAAAATAACTAGTTTGAACAAGAAGCAAAAATGTCTTACCATTTATTTATTTTTAACAAATATTTTATTATTAGTACTTAGACTTCTTTGGGGTCTTCTTGGTCAGTTGAACATGTTAAATCAGTATGAACGATGAGGAAATGATGAGAGTTCTGATTGGCTGTTAATTTTAACAAATCAGTGAAAGTGTTTGCTTTGGTTATGGTTTGTCCATTTGCAACACTATTTTTAATTTTCCTTTAAAGTTTTACAGAAATAGATTAGGTTGACCCTTCAGTCAACTTTCATCACCATTAGTGCTCCTGTGACTTGATGTTTCTGAAATGCAAAAACTTCTTTATTTCAGAAGATCAAAATAAAACCAAGCCATTAACTTTCAATTTTAGATTTTAACTTGATGGTCTAGAATAGATTATCTTATGAACCTTTTAGTGAATCAGAAACAGTGTAACCAGTGTAGTTCAAACAAATGATTCTTTTGAGTCGAGTAATAAGCATCAATCAGTATAACAAATCAATCACTAAATGATCTCACCGGATCAGTCATAAAAGCAGCACCTGACTCACTTAATGAACTCCAAGTTACCATAACATTCAGTGAAATCTATTTTTGTGCATTTAATAGAAGTGAATTGAAATCAGCGTGCTTTACTGTTTGCTTATGCCTTATTGCGAACTATATTTAGAAGAAATGATTTTTAGTCAAAATATACATTGATATATTTATTTTTATATATATTTTTTCCTTTTTCAAAACAGTTCAGAAAGAAACAAGCAAAACAATACCAACAAAAAACATTTTTAAAGGAACATGGAAACACAAAGACATGCAATACAAGTGTCAAAGGTCACCAAGTACAATCTTATTTACATTTGCATTTATGGTTAGTAAAATATGGTTGCTATAGAATTTTGTTAAGAGTTACGTATGAAACATCAACAGGCTCCAGATATATGTAAAATAAAAGTACCACAAAATAGTTAAAACATTAAATTTCCTCTCTTTACCCCAGTATTTAATAGGCTTGTTGTCTCAAGGAAAATGTCAGTACTTCTATATCATGCACCTCTTTTACAATATCATGCAGTTCACCTACAGACAGAGGATCTTCCTTGAGCCATTTCTTTGTAATTGCCTTTTTGCTAGTTGTTGGTAGTATATTAGGAAGATATGCATAATTTTTTTTGTTGGTATTTTTGAAGAGTAAATTCCCAGGATTAGTTTTAAAATTATATTAGATTCAATCCCATTATCGCAATAATCTCTTTATTCAAATCTTGACAATAGGTGTGTATAATATTAAAATCCCAAAATATGTGGAAATGATCAGCCAATACTTTTCCACATTTTCCCCAGCATTCATAATTTTTTTGATCTATAGTTTAAAGGAAATTTATTTTAAGTGTCATAAAGAACCTGATTACATTTTTCCAAATAAATTCTCTCCATGAATCTGAAATAATTGTGATCATCTGTGTTTCCACAAATAGTTAACCATACTTATTTGTTATAATTATATTGGCTTCCTTTTCCCATTTCTATTTTATATACATTGTTGACTGTTTCTTTGTTAATGTCAGACAGGAATAAATTCTTGATAGTAGTTTCTTATTAACTTTCTTTTTGTAAGTATTTATAAATACCTTTACTACCATACATTGAAATTTTGGAAATATATCAAATGTCAGGAAAGCATCAGACTCCGTAATAAGTTCATCAGTGCTCAAATGACTGTCACCCAAAATGACTGATTAGAGCACAGCTGTTTGGCTTCAATGATACACTTACACATGTTATTACAAGCATTTATCATATTACAAGCGAGTGGCATTTGTTGCATGCTTTAATTGTGAATGTACTATGTGCGGCATAAAATCAAGCATTTCTAAGTCTACTTGGATGTCTATGTAAGTGGTGTTGCGAAGTCAAAGTCCACTCCGTTCTTTCTGAAAAACATTTCTGGAAATCTGTTTGCAGAGAGCATGGTGTCTTGGCCCTGACCCTGTTATGGATGGGTCAAACAGAACAGTGCTGTGGTTTATGAGCAGGTCTGTGATGTATTGTGCTAGGCAGTACAAGGCTATGAGTTGAAAGAACGAAGCAGCAGTGGCCTCCTGTAAGTGTCCGGGTTGAATACAGGCTGCAGAGGCAGCCATGTTTAAATGGGATGAGTGCGTGTACAGTATGTGTGTGTGAGAGAGAGAGACGAAGGAGTATTGGCTGTAGTCCCTTTCTGCTATCATAACTCAACATGCTCTAAGCTACAGAAGAGAGTATGTGCGAAGATGGCCATGACTTTGACTTGTAAGAAGGTTGCTTGAGAGTCAGAGATGCCTTTCTCAGGCCTAAGGTCTGTTAGTACCAAATGTGAATTTTGTTGGCAGGATAAAAAACTAAATGAAATGATGAACTGCTTCATTGCTCAGGGTTTGTAGAGGAGTACAAAGAGCCTCATGCACCTAGAGATTCAGGTGTCAATCTGGCATTATATAAGCCCCTTTCACACAGTGATACCGGTAAATATCTGGAAAATTTCCGGAACGACTTTACCGGTATATTAAAAAAAGCGCTGTTCACACAGGCGAGAATCTGAAATAATTGTGATCATCTGTGTTTCCACAAATAGTTAACCATACTTATTTGTTATAATTATATTGGCTTCCTTTTCCCATTTCTATTTTATATACATTGTTACGGAAATTTTCCGGAAAAGAGCATTCACACATCCATTCCAAAATACCGGTAAATTCTGACATCATTCACCACAAATGAGCTTTTATACGGCTGCGCTTGTATTTGTAAACATTTGACTAAATTACAAACTCTGTGCATGATCAATATTGTGAACAACTTTCGCAGGATCACTTTCGCATGTCGAGATGTTCATAATATGTGCGTGTGCAGGCGCTCACAGGCACACGCAAAGCTTGAAGGTAAACAAACAACGGCTTATCATAAGCATCTCATCAATGATTATTTACACAGTTGGCATAAAGAAGAACATATAAACGTGATCTGACTAACTTCTAGCAGCTAAATGTGTCTGGAAAAATATTCAAAGGTTTTTATTCTCACAAACCGCGCGGACGTAAATGCGTCTGACTGTTGTGATTGGCTAAAGCAGACGTCTTACGTCAGCACGTTCTAGATGTGCACGCGCTTATTATGGTAATCTTCCTTCTGCATTCACACAGCGCAGCATTCCGGCAAATTGCCGGTAATGTTACAACTTCTCTTTCCGGAAAATAGCCAGAACGAATTTACCGGTATTTTCAAAAAGGACCTGTTCACACATACAACCTTTCCGGAAAATTGCCGGCAATTTTCTGGAAAGGTCTGTATGTGTGAAAGGGGCTATAGTCATATATTACTGACTTTATTTATGGCTATGTATGAATTACATTTCACAATAGACCAATTTACAAACACCGATCATAGTCCTGAAAATGTAGCCATCAGAGGAGTAGTCTCCATGGGAAAAGAACATGCTTAACTGTCGCCAACACGATGGAAGTCCTATCTCTGATATCATCCAAACACATTTTTAATATGCAATATCCTTATAAATAAACTGCGTATTTGCTATTAAAACAACTAAAATCTCGCCTATGAAGTCTCAAAAATACAACAGCTGCAGTGTTTGTCAAACTATAGTGAGTTTAGTCCTTGCTGTGATGCACATGGGTGAAAAGGCTGGAACAGTGCTGATACTTGAAGAATATCGCACGACTATCGGATTAAAATGATTATATTATCTTTCTAAAATATTCCAATGAAAGATATTTTAAATTGAATAAATTTTCTAAATTCGTACCTGTCAGAGAAAAAGACATTTTTGACTTGTTTTTGAACATTTATCGTCATTCAGTAGCAGATGCAAGCCTGTGTTAAGTACATATATAATGATGTGTAATGTATAATATACATGTATAATAATGAACCTCCTTTTTAAATTAGTTTTGTTCATTCTTTTCACAGTTACCGATGTGGAGCTCAAACGTCTGCGAGATGCCTTTAAGAGGACCAGTGGCCTGTCAGTGTATATGACCCAGCAATGCTTCTTCAGAGAAGTCCTGGGCGACGGAGTGCCACCAAAGGTTGCAGAAGTGAGTTCAACGTGATCATCATCACAACACCTCACAGCACCATGATCTATCTCCATCCTCCTACCGGTTGTTTTAGTGCTGCTTTTTCATGTGTTACAGCTCTCTGATTGATTGGTCGGTTCCCCTGGTATATTTCTGGCATGCCACAAATAGAAACCATTCATTTTGCAGCCTGTTTACTGTATCTCAGATGAATCTAGATAATATTTTATGCTCAGACTACATACTTTAGTATGCAGAGACAAAAAATAAATATATATATATATATATATATATATATATATATATATATATATATATATATATATATATATATATATATATATATATATATATATATATATATATATATTTATTTATCTGATTGTCACAGCAGTCGTTATAAACTTAGAGTGTAAAAGTTACAGCATGCAGTTCCCTACTGTATATTTGCTGCTCTTTTGCATTGATGCTGTTTCACTAAACTATTTCCCTATTCATGCGTAGTTCTGTTTTGGTTTTCTGATGCTCTAGATACCCACAGTCATGTGGTTGCCAGTTGTAACCTAGTGAAGCACTAACTGGAAGAGTGGTGCTTGATGTTTAAACGCACTCACACATCATCATTTGACATTTAAAGACTTCTCTATGACCTAACCACTGTAACCAGCTCTCTACCTGCCTCCTGTATCTATAAAAGCAGTCCTCTGCGAGACGAATCATACAAAGATCCCCCTCTATTTTAGCAGAAACCTATCTGGACCAGACTTTTACTTGTTGTCATAGGAACTAGTATTTGGAGACCAGCCTGGCTAGTTATTTTCGGCTTGTTACTGTGTGGCTCTCAGCCAAGTTTTATTGTGAATAATGTATCCGATCAATACTTTGAGATAGCTTTATAATGGGGCATATCTCTTTGACATTTTAGGGTCAATTAAAAGAACTCCTTAAAAGCAATGGAGTTCTTTTACAGGAGTTGACTGTAAAGTCATGAATCTGTCTTCAGGTATTGTTTATATGAACTTTCAGTCATGGCAGCAGTCCAGCGAAATTCTTTCAGCAGCATAAAACTGCCACTCATTCAAGGAATGCAGAAAGAGAGAGAGAGAAATTGCGATGTATTTTTAGCTCTTTTCCCACAACCTTGCACTGCGACTGATCCTGATTCTTGCCAAGCATCTTGTGATGCTTTTATGGAGTGGATCTGCTGAGGTGCTTCTTTCTCAGCACGCCACACACATATATCTATCACTTAGCTCTCTGTGCTGGTTAACCAGGGCTACAGACTGCAACTAAGTGGTTGCATTGTTTGACCTTTCTTTCTTGCATGCACAACTACACTTTGTTAGAGGTTGTGCTGGTGCCACCGCCAATTTGTCTGGTAAGTGCTGCTATTTCTGTTGCATATTAGATACATCAGAAGTCAAATGCAACAAAAGCAGAATTAAATCATTTACAAAATGAGCGCAGATCAAGCTGGAAACATGTGCATTTAATTAAAGACTGACCTGTATTTATCTTAGATCGAATGAGCAGCTATTTTGAGTATAGCAATCCATAAATCACCATGATGTATGAGTGATTTTTGGAATGTTAACAGAATATGCAGATATAGTAAAAAATGTTTCCATTGGCCTCAGCGTAATATGGAAAGTTATTCTTTTTTTTAAAGATAATTTGTGGATTATGCACCCTCTGTAACATACGTGCAAGGAATGCTACGCCAGCATCACATAAGCAGTGTGTTCACTTTAGATTTGAACTTGTGCCTGTTTGGTGATTGTGATTCAATGATTCTGACTGCCAGCTTTAACATTATGCGAGTACAGAATCAGATGTCCTGCATGGGGCACCTGTCCATCACATCCTAAAGCTGCGGTAACACTAGACTTTTCTCCCAATAGACTTCCATTCATACACGTGAATGCGTCAGACTGGAAACGCAAGTTCATGCGTCAAGTTTCACAGTTCACTGCGGTGCAAAGTTCAAGCTTGGTGAACTCTGACCTGTGAAATCGCATTACTTGCCTGCATGAGACTTGACTGATGATATCAAAACATGACCTCTCTGGAAAGAAAAAAAAATAGAGCAATCTCTCGCTTTTTTTTAAATGTCTAATCATCTTGTTTAATACCGCCCCTTTTCGCAGCGTTGTATGACAGAATTTCACATGCTCAAACTCTAGTGTGACCGCAGCTTAATTCCTCTGCACAATAAGAAATTAAATTTGTTCGAGGCAGTCTGGTATTTGAAGACTAACAAAGTGAAAGTTACTTCTGTTTATGAATAAATTTACATTTTGCATTTAAATAATTAGCAAACACTTTTATTCAAAGTCGCTTACAAGTAAGCATAAAGTATAATCAGAAAAGTAAATAAATAATCAGAAAATAGCAGTATACGAATCCTATGAAGTCTTACGCCGAGTTCAGACTGCGTGGTTTTAGCCCTGATTTTGACTCGCCGAGAGGTTTTGAGAAATTGCAGACAAATGCCTGAAATCACAGGCAAATCGCTGCTCATTTATACAAGTAACAATCACACAGTGTGAACTATCAAAGACACGATCTGAGAGAATCGCGATGAGTCGTGACACCCATGAGATATTTGGCATGCTAAATATCTGGAGCTGTCTGCGATTCAAATTATGCCATGTGGAATGTGTTCTGATTCAAAATAACATCGACGATTAGCTACAGCCAATTAGAGAGCAGCATCTACTTTTGTGGGTATCTGCACGTCAGTGGGAGGTTGGGGAGAAGTTAAATTATTTTAGGTCTATTTGGATCCAAGAATTGGAGGGAAAACTAGTGTAAATTTGGCAGAAGCGCCTGTGCCTTTTTGACGTGTCGTCTGACCAATACCACAAATGGGTCAAAAAGGAAAAAAGTTGAGGAGAAATTGCTATTTCCCTCCAATAAGGCCAGGTTAGCAAAATAAGTACATTTTGTACCCCTCTAAAGGTTTTTTCTCATAATGTACTTAATAAAAATTTATAAACTATGAGACCTTACGATATTTATATGTAATTACTCACGTGCGTTTTGTGGACTGAGACAAAGTTGTCAGCGATTCTCCTTTTGTAATGTCAAGCAGTGTGAAACCCTCTGTCTACGATCCATCTTACATTGAACACACAGCGCACTAGCCTAGATAGTCATGCAATGTGAAAATATTTTTGACAGGACAACTTTGAAAATCGTGCAGTCTGAACTCGGCATCAAGCATACAACAGGGTGGTTTGTCGAGCCCACTCACCTGCGTGAAGCACCAGAAGAATTGCACAATGTTAATAAGAAATGGTCTGGTGCATATGAAGGGGCAATAGTGTGTCACCTACAGATGGTTTATCAAGCCCACTCACCTGCATAAAGCATATCCAGACGTAATTGATAAAGTCAGTGTTGTGTATCAAGGAAATTACCATGGATTCACTCTTTTTATGCTAACTATAACTGTTATTGTATACTAATTGTTATTTATCTTTATGAATGGAGACATGCATTAAACGTATTACAGAAGAAGTGAAAGGCAGTTATATAATGTAATTTCCATTAGGATTTTTAATACTATTTTTTAATGAATACAGTTTGTTTGCAAAACCATAAAATTTTTACTCTTTTTATTTATTTAAATAGTAAAAAAACATACATTCACTAATCAACATTACTAACAACACAATATACATATAAACATAGTGCTTTAACATTGTGTACATATAAACAAAGACAAAAAATGAAGACAACATCAGTACAATACAAGTAAAACCTGACAGCATCAGCATCATTTTGTCCACTTTAAAAGTAATTTAGTCTGCACCAATAGCCGAGTAGTTAGTGCTCTGAGGTACTCACGGCATCCCGAGTTCAATTCCCGGCTTGAGATCCTTTGCCGACCCTTCTCCTATCTCTGCTCCCCACACTTTCCTGTCTGTAAATCTCTACTGTCCTATCACTATAAAGGTGAAAACCCCTAAAAAAAATATTATACAAAAATTGAAGTGATTTATGAAAGTAGGCCAAATGGCAGTGAACTTGGACCCAGAACCATTTAAATTAAGTACAATTTTTTTCCAAACTAAGCAAATGCAACACATCATTTGCCCACTTTTCAAAAGATGAGGGAAATGATTGTTTCTAATTGATTAGAATCAAGCATCTTGCCAAAAGAGTGACGGCAATGCAGTCCAATTGACTTTTTGACAAATTCTTATTTTCGTAAGCAATATCAAAGACAGCAGTTAAGAGGTTTGCACAAACATCTTTACCATATATTTTAGAGTAAGATCAAAATATTTGACCAATATACAAATAATCTGGGACATAACCAAAACATATGGGCTAATGTAGCAGGGGACTGCTTGCATCTTGTACAGATGTGGTCAACAGAGGAGGAATACATCCTTGCCGGCTTGGCCTTGGAAAGCCGAAGTCTATATACTACTTTAAATTGAATAAGGCTATGTCTAGCACAAATAGAAGATCTATAGATTCTATATATAGCCTCATTCTAGTCCTCGTCTGTCAAACTGATATTAAGGTCTAGTTGCCAGGAGTCACGTGTAGATATTTTTTGCAATGTTTTCAGGGGAATAAAAATGAATTTTTATATAAGTGAAAATAAATGTGTGTATACCCATCTAAAGCATATCTGCTATTGTCATCTTGATCTAAAGTCAGATGTGCAAGAGGAAAAATGTAGAAATATGTATTTAGGCTAGGCCATACCCCACTCTTAACCAGTGCTATAAAATCAAATACTGGACACTATCTGTAGAACTCTCTGGCACAGGTCCTGGATCTTTCAAATATTACCTGGAAAACCTATTCACTGGCCATTGATTAGATGAAAGTTATGATTTCCCTCACAGATTCAACGTTTAAATTCCTGTACTCCACCCTATCTTGATGCACCTCAGAGTCGATATATTATTCACTTAACCTACATGCACCAGCATGAGCGTGCGGATGGCAGGTAGTCAGTGTCTGCGTCCCTTGGATGATTAATGTACGGCCTGCAGGGTGCAGATGACATCTCAGGCTGCGTCCATCATGAGGAGGAACCCCGAGCCCCCAGCTGCTCATTTCATTGCTGTGATAAGTGGATCAGTTCCCCTGAAGTCAGCCCACAGCCAGCCAGCCAACACCTCACACTGATCTTTAGCACCCGCTCTCATTAAATCCCTTGCCGCATCGCACATTTCCCCCTTTTTTCCTCCCACTTCCTGTCTGTGCACGTGTCAGCCTCTGGAATGCTCTAGTTGATCATTACCTCCACCTCACTGTTTGCTTTACATCAAAGGGTGATGATTACACGCTATGAAAGCGTGCTGCATGATTCATTTTGAAAGCTGTTTTCGATATGAATGGCTTTTGTGTTTATGTTATGTATACGTACAATGCAATTCCAGGAACAAATTGATTTAAATGAATAAAGAAAAACATACAACGATCATTTGGCATGCTGTCAGAGCAGCATATGAACCAACTTTATCATCACAGTGATGATATGTGTGTAAACAAACTGCTCGCAAGGAAGCAATGGGTGCACATGTACCAATTTCCACCCAGAAGGACTTTGGAAAAAGCTTGTGAAGTGACAACAGTTGGCTAATAGTGCCCTATGTTAAGCTGGAAGGTTTTTGTGGTAATTTTAGCCTAATGATATTGCAGTACAGTGCTGACAGCTTGTGTGAGGCTGAGTTCTGACTTCCTTTCTGCCCTCTGGACAAAACTGCAGCCGAATCCACTGAGGCCAGAGCTGTGGAGATGGGAGACAACACTGTTCATTAACCAGACCTTAACTTCATTCAGACTCACCACCAGAGTCCAAAATTAACACAGTGCAACACTATATATAGATTTGAGGGTGAATACTTGGTCAGTTGGTTAGTGAATATACTATACATTTGGCTAGGAAACTGGATGGTGCCGATTCATTGTTTATTTTTTTTTATATATAATTTAAATATTGTTTGTTTGTTTTATGATTAAAATATAACTAATCTAAATTTCTGGTGAATACAGAATAACTGGTCAGTAAATTTTTTAGTAAATTTAGCATGGAATTAACAATATCCCTTGCCTAAAAACATTTGTTATAGTGTATATAGTTAGGGCTGCACACATGAAAATATAGAAATGCGCTGCTGATAGCATAGACCACAATGAAAACTTGTTGGGGGCCCCTAAAGATTTATAAAATTTTATAGAGATGCAAATAATAAACATTAATTTATCAATTTCTGACAAAACAAGTGCATAAAAATACTCTGAACACATGAAAATACAGAAATGCACTGCGAATAGCACAAACCACAATGAAAATGTGTCGGGGGACCCCAAAAAGTTTATAGATTGTTTATTAGAAATTATGGAGATGCAAAAAGTAAACATTAATGCATCAATCTCTGGCTAAACATGTGCATAAAAATACTCACAACACATGCAATTATAGAAATACACGGAAATAATACAGACAAGAACGAAAATATGTCGGGGGACCCCAAAAAGTTTAAAGATTGTTTATTAGATTTTATGGAGATGCGCTCCCACTGCCGAATCATGCCAATCGATTTAGCATTATAACATCTTTGCTAAAAGATATTTAGTCATCTGGTGAAATTTCATTCATGTCTCAATATATATCGCAAAGTAAAATAAAAAATTTTAATGTTAGCAATATTTTCCATTATCGTTCAGCACTATTAGTTTTGTTATTTTATTGTTATTTTTTAAAAAATTTTTTACTTAAATTTTTATGTTTTTGTTGATTTTTATTTACATACACATGTGTTGTTAAGCATTTAAGTATATATAAAAGTATTAAGTAGAGCTGGTTGATTAGTACAGAAGTCAATTTTCTTAAATCACCATACAAAATCAATAACTATGTTTCCATCCAAAAATGTAAATTGAATTTATGTGCAAAACTGGAATAATAAAAGATGTGTGAATAAAGCAGCGTTTCCATCCAAAAAGTCAAAGAGAAAAAAAAAATCACTTCCTAATTAATTAATTAACTAATTTTGATGCAGTAGGAGAGGCTGCGTGAAACTTTTCTTTATTTAATAAATGGCTTGCATCTCAGAAGATGATGCCGACATATAATGAACACGTGGTGGTGTTTAAAGGTCTGAGATACACAGCGCAGATGCTCTTGACAGTTCTGGAGGTAATTAATAATATAATAACTCTAATACTGAAATGGTTAAGGCGTTTTAAAAAGTCCAAATAAGCATTTCAGATGTTTTACAATGTGCTCAGCCTGCTGGTTTGTCCATTCACACACATTTTTACCATCAAATGATCTCTTATAACAAAATCACATGACCTTTTAATGCGCACACTGGAATTTATTCAATAAACTGTTTGTTTCATAGTTTTTGCACTCATTTTCTTAAAAAAATGTCCTACGCAGTCAGTTATGCGCATACATTTTTATGCGCATTTTCAACATTTATGCGCATCTTGCCATTTTCATCTACCTATTTTTTTATCCGCATAGCCAAAATGTGCATAATAATAGGTAGATGAAAACATAGCTAATGTATGTTGTAATATAATTATATATTAATTATATTTTACCAATAATGATTTAAAAAAACTTTTAATATTCTTGTTGGATGTTGAGAATGGACTTATGTTTAGGTAAATAAACATTTACTGATTTATTTGCTTACTTGCTTCCCCAAATTCTTTTCAATTTTTAAAAATGTTACTTAATAGCTAACAAGTATGAATTTTCAATCCTGCTCAGCAGCAAAGCTTTCCTCTGGTCTTGTTTGTGCTTGACATTTACAGTTTGACAAAAGACTGATACCACAGAAGCAGGCTATCTGTCAATTTGTTTACATCCCTGCTTTAACACCAGCGCTAATTGCAGGAACTTGACGGTATTCTTGTGTTTTTCTAGTAAATGTTTGTCTTGTAAGCCGCAGAGCTCTAGACTGTGCTGTAGGCTTCTGAAGGCATGAAAATTGTATTTATATGTGGTGTTATGGGTAAGACTTGGTGCCAAGCTAGGCATAAAAGTGTCTTATGTGTGTGAGAGATGTCTCAGTAGAATAGAAATGATCAAAAGCAGGAAGAAAAGCATTTTACTGGTAAACCTCCCACTGTGCCACATTTTGCAGGGATATTTTTTTCACACTGCAACGCATTATACATAGTCCTGCAGTGCAGGCAGAGACAGAATGCCATGATTCCTCTGTATTAAACAAATTGTTGTCAGCTGATTTGTTAGGAGATAGTCTAGCAACCATAATCATCAAGATGTTTCTCTGAAATCTCAGCACAAATCAAAGGTCTGAGATAATGGCTAACACCAGGCTGTTGTGTACACCAGTAGTTTTAGTAATAGCAGAGCGATTGGAAGATGGTGACATGTAAAAGATACACGTTTTAATTTCAGCTGCATGTGTTTAGCTGCAAAATGAGTATGTAAAAAATTGATTTATTTAATTTAATTTAATTTAATTTTATGTAATACACTAAGTGTGATCTATTTAATTTAATCTGTTTAAATCTTACTGATTGACCTTTGGGTAAGTTTTATGTACAGTACAGTGTAGTTTTGCATCATTTCCTGTGGAAAGGGGCATTCATTTTCACAATGGCTGAGTCATTATACATCTGAACTGTTTCAGTTTCTACGACCGCATTAGCTAACTCTATTTAATTGTAACTAGCTATCTGGTTTGCTGCATTGCCACTTATTTGCATAAAGTTTAGTTTAGCGGCAAAATGTTGGCGTTGTGCCATTGATGCCACCACACTGTTATTAAAAAGCAATTACTGCAAAACGCTGTTAGTGTGAGCACACTGGAAGTTGTTTTTTTTCCCAGGATCAAAGGCAAAGCTCATCCAGTTTTATAGATTTTAAAAAGAAATGTGTCCCAGAAAAACAGTTTGAGCAAACTTTGGCATATATATATATATATATATATATATATATATATATATATATATGTATATATATATGTATGTATGTATATGTATATATATATATATATATAATTTTTTTTTCTTAGTTGAACTATACATTTAGATAATGATTTTATTATGAGCCTTTATAAGGACCATATGTAACGTGCATGCTTCCTTAATGTCTGTTTTAGGTGATCTACAACTCATTTGGTGGCACATCCAAAGGGCTACACTTCAACTATCTGATCGTCGGCCTGGTTTTGTTAACAAGAGGGCGTGATGAAGAGAAAGCCAAATGTAAGTGTACGGACGACTGTCGTGTCCACCCAACCTTTTTATATTTTGTTGAGCATTATAAGTTCTGAACCTCATTGTTTGAACCTTTATGTGCATTATGCATTAGGATGTATTATTATTATTATTATTATTATTATTATTATTTTGCTTTTCTTTTTTTTATGGTAGTTTACCCAAATACGAAAATTTACTCAATATTTATTCTGGTGCTTTATTCAAAACTTTATGAAGTTTTTTTTTTTTTGTTGAACATTTAAATTGAAGAATGTACAAAACTAGTAGCTTGAGAAAAAAAATATTTTGCTGCTCGTTCAAACTATTTATTCAATATGAAATTGAAATTTAAGTTGATATAACACAATTTATGGGACAATATAATTGTTTTATGTTCAATCCACTTAAATAAAAATAAAAAGATTTGTGTTGGGACAACATGGAGGAATTGTGTGAAACCTAGCATTTTTTCAATGGATACCGTCTAGGACTGCACAATATATTGTTTCACATTGTTCTCACATCTCATCGCAAGATATGTAATTTTGAATCTGAATTATGGTTGACCGGGAGCTACAGAATTGTATTCAATTACTGTATTAATGCAGCATTTAAATGATTTATGCAAAAACAAAAATGTTTTTCTTTCTTAGAATTTTTTTCTTGTTTCTATTCCAAATATCTACATTTGAAAGCGAAAACAAGATTATTTTACTTGGCGAACTGACAGATAGTTTTTTTTTGTTTTTTTTTACGGAAAAACTTGATTAAAGATAAAATGATTAAAGAAAAGTTCAAAGCAAGACAATATTTTACTTGACCTAAGAATTTTTATATATTTGGAATCGAAACGAGACAAAGCAGAGTAAGAAAAGCATATTTTTGCATTGTGATTATTCAGTTTCTTTACCCTGAATAATAATTCTTACTTCCAAATATACAGAAAATATATATATCAAAATACCAGATTTTTCCAACATCATGCAGCCCTAATACAGACTGATACTGATATCAGCATTGTGTTCAATAGAAGAAAGAATCTCAGACACAAGCAAATGACGGATAAATAAATGATGACCGAGTTTTCATTTTGGGTGAACTTTCCCTTTAATAGCCTTGGTGTGCTTTGTATGTTGTTTATTTTGTGTCACATGAGATCCCTGAGGGATTTTGTTAGGAACAACAATCTAAACAAGCACACCTCAGTCTCAACATATTTAGTCATCCAGTGGTTTTTAGATTTGTTTCGCACTGTGTTTTTCAGGCAAACTCATAGCCTCGTGCACACTTGATTTCCCAGTCTGATGTTCCCTGTAGTTGTTAGTGTCTGCTCTGGTGTGTCCTGCTGTGTCCCTGACAGCTGTGATTGATGTGGCAGTGCCTGCTAGAGCTTGATAAGGTGTTTGGGTGTATTAAGCAGCTTGTCTTCTGCATTCACAGACATCTTCAGCTTGTTCGCGAGTGATTCTGGCACCTTTGTGGTCCGGGAGGATGTGGAGAACATGCTGCGCTCAGTGGATGGGGAGGTCCCGCCTTCTCTCAGGAAGTGCTTTACTGAGGTCAGAATAGAAAAACAATAACTACTGTCTCACCTGTTTGACATAAATAAAAGACACTTCAGCTCATATCTCTGAATTACAAACAACCTTAAGGTAGTGTTCTTAAGTTTATTTTTATCATTCATCGTACTTGCAAAATTTCTTATAGTCAGTTAAGGCCCAATCCCTATTCTGTTCTACCCCTTAAGCCTGGTTTATACTTTTGCATCAAGTGATCGATATGACCCACATCGTATACAACACGCGTAGCTGTGCATTCATACTTCTGCGCTCTGTTTCTGTTGCTCTGCAATAACACTTCTGAAACGCTAGTTGGCAGTGGGGTGTTTATGTTCCTCTGTGTCGAGTTTCTTCACTGGTGTTTTCTTTTTATCGAACGCTTCCTTAATGTACAAGTGGATCAAAGTTGTTCATTTTGAGGCAGGAACCGGCAGACGTGCAACAACTTTAACCATGAGGTAAACACAAAACAAAAGTTTTCATCCGGAGCTCCTTCACGGGACGCTACACTTGTAAACAATCGCTCAATCAGGCTTGCGCGGCTTTCGGTCCCACCCAGACTCGTCATCGCTACCAAGCTGACCAATCACAGAGGTTGCGCTATGCGTCGTTGCGACGTGTAGTTAAATTTTTTAAATGGTGCGCGTCAGCCAGTTGCATATGCGTGCACTTGATGCAGAAGTATAAATCAGCCTTTAGCCCTTCCCCTGTTCCAATTCACTTTAGCTTGAAGGTGCAGGGCTAAGGGGAAGACTAGATACGCCTTCAAACTGAGGTTTATCAGGACCACACTCGAAACCAAGGGGTACGAAAATTTCCTAGAATACACCATGTACAATGGCAGCATGGCTGCACAGGGAAGAAGATGCAAAAATTAGTATTTTTTGTCATTATTATGAATTTTTACAACAAACAAGCACATGTTTTAATACCATTATAACCACGTTCATGTTGTACGGTCATGCTTTAAAAAAAAACTGAATTTCACTATTTATAAGCCCTAATAATAACTCTTGTATTGTAGTCCCAGAACATTCTGTCACTCGATGACACTCTGATACCCTGACTTTTCACAGTGGCTGGTATAATGTTGATGCTGTTTTCATAAAATAACATGGCCACGGTGTAAATGCACAGTACAGTTATTATCTTATTGCCACATTATATCAATATGATAATATAATATCGTTGCCTTCAATGATTTCCTGAAGATAAATACCTAAAAAATAACGCAACTGGAATAACTACAGCAGTCACGATCGTCGATCTCATATGAAGCAAGAGATCGCGATGACATATGATGATGTGTGCAGTGGTGTAGTGGTGTCCCATTTCTTAGGGGTAAATTTTGAAGCCCTTCCCCTTCACAGTCCATTTCAAGGGGTAGGGGTGCAAAAATAGAAATGGGATTGGGCCTAATGTCTGTTAAAGGAGCAGTATCAACAGATATTAAGCAGACAGTCTATTAATACTCAAATGAGAATAAGTAATTGGCCTGTAGTTGCAGTGCAACTTTTAGTCAATAAAATGTGCAATAGTGACCATCAAAATTAAATCTTACCGAAACTGCTAAAATGTCCACTGGAACTAAACAGAAACCTAAACATTTGACACTGACATTGAAACATTACACAGAATATATCTGTACACAAACACTCTCACACACACACACGCACATGAATATTCACCTTATTCTTTGTGTACGAGCGGGCAAATTTTTTTTTGCTGGAGACTTCTGCTTCCATTCACTTCCATTCAATTTTACACATTCAAAAAGGATAACGAGCTGTTTTTTTGTTGCATACTGATATTGTCTTATTATATTTTTGTGCTTCCCACACATAGACTTTACTTGGGGGTCTGCCCATGGGTCTGACCATTTTCTTTTCAGCTTAGTCTCTTTATTAATCCGAGGTCGCCACAGCGGAATGAACAGCCAATTTGTCCTGCACATGTTTTACGCAGCAGATGCCCTTCCTACGGAACCCCGGAAGGGACGTAGTGGAGGAGAAAAAAATTGGCTGGGTGAAAAAAAAAAAATGGGTGAAAGAAAAAAATGGGTGGGAGGAAAATATATATTTCTAAGTTTTTGCGTTCTCTCGCAAAGTTTTGCGTTCCCTCGCAAAGATGTTTTGCGTTCCCTCGCAAAGTTGTTTTGCGTTCCCTCGCAAAGATGTTTTGCGTTCTCTCGCAAAACTGTTTCTCCACAAACACTTCCTGTTCACTTCACTCACGTAAACCCTCCCGTTTTTGCTGAAATTCTCCCATATTTACCATTCTATCCCACTTTCTTTACATTACTGTGCGCTGATTGTCGTCTTTCACTTTGCAACCTCTGAACCAGTGAATGCATGTTTAAGCGCTGACTGACAGACGCGCTTCGTACAATAAACTGATCCCAGATCAGCGTCTGTACGCGCCATTTAAAGGGACACTTCTGTTATCAAACAAGTGCGCAGCAAATGAATCTCATGTTTTGTTTAGTTTGATAACAGAGGTGTCTCTGTAAGAATGCACAGATCTATAATGAAAGCAGTCCATTACTTTAGATACTGTTTGTGCTCATTTAAGAGAAAATAAGCTGTTTAAAATAAAACATGCAGGACGGAGATCTTTCATATTATTCAGTGTATTTGTCTGTTTAAACATACACCCGCTCCTCTGTAAATGGCGTGTACACACGCTGATCTGGGATCAGTTTATTGTACGAAGCGCGTCTGTCAGTCAGCGCTTATACATGCATTCACTGGTTCATAGGTAGCATACGCACAGTAATGTAAAGAAAGTGGGATAGAATGGTAAAATACGGGAGAATTTCGGCAAAAACGGGAGGGTTTACGGGAGTGCAGTGAACAGGAAGTGTTTGTGGAGAAACAGTTTTGCGAGAGAACGCAAAACATCTTTGCGAGGGAACCCAAAACATCTTTGCGAGAGAACGCAAAACATCTTTGCGAGGGAACGCAAAACATCTTTGCGAGATAACGCAAAACATCTTTGCGAGGGAACGCAAAACTTTGCGAGAGAACGCAAAAAACTTAGAAATATATATTTTCCTCCCACCCATTTTTTTTCTTTCACCCATTATTTTTTTTCACCCAGCCATTTTTTTTCTCCCCCACTACGTCCCTTCCGGGGTTCCGTACCTTCCAACTGCAACCCATCTCTGGAAATTTTAGTGATATTGTCTGTTTTTAATTCTTTTTTGTCATTTATTTTTCATTTGCTGTATATTTTATTAAATTGATTGTCAATATATGACATATTTTAAACATTAAAATGCTTTGGCAATATTGTACAAAATGTCATGTCAATAAAGCAGCCTGAACTTGAATGAGAGATATAGAGGAGCAGATTTTACCTGTCAGTGGGTGAACATGGCTCCTGAATAGCACAAAAGAGATTTTAAAAATGTATTTCAAGTCTTTTTTTTAGTTTAACTTATTGAAAAGAAAAAAGTTTAAAAGAGATGATGATAATAAAGATAGTGGTAAAAATCAAATCAAATTATGTTTTGTTTGTTGCATATAGTTATTTATTTAAGTGATGTGGGTAATAAGTGTATTTTAATTCGGCTACCACCACAAGTATGTTGCAAACCTGTGGGAACTGGGAAGCACTGATTATTATCATAATATATTATTATTATTATTATTAGATTTTATTCTGCTTTGGCTTTATAGTCATGCAAACACTTGTCTGTAGAGCAAGTGGTTTGACCATTTTCTGACATTTATTATTCCTAATCATTTCTCTCATAGGCAACTGGATCTTAAGCTCTAAAACAAGCACCCTTCCGCATTGTCAATAGAGACAATATACTTTGTTGAAAAGACATGTACATACCGCTTGAAGTGATGGTTAGGTTACTATTGTCATCTTTATGAGTGAGACCAATATGGTAAGATATACAGTGCATTATCATCTCTGCAAAAAGATCTTTTTAGTAATGTAAAAATATTTTAAATATCTGTTAAATATTTTAGATATTTGTAAAATGTGATGTTTCTATTATGTCACACAATTTCTTAGTTTTTCTGTTAAATAACATTTTATTTATTTATATTTATATTACAAATGAATCCATAAAAACATATATAATATTCAGTTTAATTGTAGTAATATTTATTTATTCAACTCTATTAATATTATTTACTAACAATCCTTTTTTTAAAGTAAAAATATAAATTAATGTTATTTAAATAAATATATTTTAGTAATATTAAAATAAAAAAATATTTTATATCATATCATTTTATTTTTGTTTTATTTTACGTTGCTCTATAGTACATATTTAGTATTATAGTACATATTTAGTATATATTAGTGTATATTTTTTATATTAGTTTAATGGGATTTGTATAAATTTTCATTACACATTTACTTCTATTATTTGTAAGAAAATGACACGTATATGTATGAGGCCTAATAAAAAAAATAATATTTCACTGCTCTACAATATGCATCACTGTGCAAAAATGTCACTTTCAAATGTAACCACTTGAGAGAGTGTCTTCAAGAAGCTGCTTTACAGTCCAGATACGGCATCTCTATGTGGACGCAAAAAAAAAAAAAAAAAAAAAAAAAAAACAGAGAAAAATATAGTGGAGACACAACCACAGTCTTATATGTCATCTTTTGGCTAACACATCAATAGAAATTTCACTGTTGGACTAAATCCAATTGGCTATTTACTTGCTGAAAAATGGATTACACAAACTCTGTGTAACTCGTGACACTTATTTTAATGATTGCCAGATTATATACACACACACACTCATATATATATATATATATATATATATATATATACATATATATATATACATATATATATATATATATATATATATATATATATATATACATACATACATACACACACACACCATACCTCTAGAATGGTTAGCCCTATTTAAACTTATGTTTAACGGGAGCTTCCTCTGTTACAGCGCTTGTCTAATAATAAGATTAAAAGGTTGACGGTGCAAATGTTGCAGCCGACAAGGTCACATAATACGGATTTGACATACATTCGCTCCTATTTGTTTGTTTGCTCTTCTATGAAAAACACTTTCTTAGCCAGCTTCACTTCTAGATTAAGGGAAAGCCACCAGATGCAGTACTTTGGTTGTTTGTTGTTTAGCAAGACTCTCTTATCTCTTTACCCAACCCACTCACACAAACATATCTGCACGCAACAGAATTCAGTCCACATTAATAAACAGAAAATTAAATGAAGGGAACAACTAAAACTGAATTAAACTTCTGCACTCTTCTGTCATGCTTGCTGTTTAAGTTTGTCATGGCTTCCTTGAAGAAATGCACTTTAGTGTTTAATGTTTCTGTTGTGTTTCTGTCCAGGGGGAGAAGGTGAATTATGAGAAGTTTAAGAGCTGGCTGCTTCAGAATAAAGATGCTTTCACGTTCTCCCGCTGGCTGCTGTCAGGTGGTGTGTGCGTAACGTTGACTGACGACAGCGACACACCCACCTTCTATCAAACCCTGGCAGGTGTCACTCACTGTAAGTGTCACTCTTCTCTCTCAGTACTGTCTGAATGTCCACTATATAATCTGTGTGTACTTGTACTTCATGCATTCAAATCTCTGTATGCACTTGAAACAGTTGGATCATGGAATATTTTTCCTCATTCTTTTTTTTTCTTATGGTGATTCAAAGATTTTTTTGGAGCATCGAGTGTTGAGACTTTTTCTGAGGTTTGAGGTTAAAAGCATCAAGATCAAGATCATGTACTAGCAATAAGGCTGTAATGATTCACTTAACTTCCAGTTCGATACAATTCATGATACTGATATGAAATACATTATTAGGGATTTCGATCAATTACATTACATGCCTAACTAGTTACATGGCTAACTAGTTTAGTATCCTATTATTCTTTTAGTTTTATTTTTAAATTGCGTATAAGTGCAGATGTCACTTGTTATTAATTAGCTGTGATGTTACGCCGAGATAGTTTTGTCCACTTAATGTCCAGTGGTCAATGGAAGTGCGTCCTACAAGCTGACTCTTTTTTTTTTTTTTTTAGTATTGTAGAGTTCATGTATTCTCATAGCAATAGTTCACATTGACGGTATGGTTCTGATTTATGATGATGGAGCTGCAGTCTGTGATGATCCATTTAGTGATGGAATGAGTTTGCTTTGCAGTTGTTTTGTGCTGTTGCACTCATTCAGTGTCCTTTGATGAGCTCGGCAGGTTAACGCTGTCTTGGCACTAGCATTTTACTGAAATATGTTTGGCCCTATGATTGCATTTTAAACTTGTGCTTCGGTGGAATGACAGTGCATCACTACAATAAGTTTACAGAACTATAAGGAAGCTTTTTATAATGATTCTTGCCATTTGGCACACACATTGTGTTTTGATCCATAATATATTACCTTATTATCCATCATAAAACTATATGGCTGCCATGACAGCAAGAAACGAGTCAAACCTTATCAAACGATTAATTTGCATTAAAGAAATATTAACACATTAATGTTTTCAGATTAATCTCATGCATTAACGTTGACAGCACTAATATACGGGACAAAAGTCTTATCACTTAAGTTTTAGGAACAACAAATAATAACTTGACTTTTAGTTAATCATTTGCTATCAGAAGTGGCTTATATGAAAGGCAAAAGCCTCTAGATTATGCTTATTTTACCAAAATAAAATAGGATCATGCCATGATTTTTAATTATTCAGTTAGAACAGTATGGTCTGACTTTGCTTAGACAAGTCTTGTTATGTAATGGAAATAATGTACAGTATATAATATAAAGTCATGGTGCAGGGGCAAAAGAATTAATGTTATGGATGACTCCCATGAGCTCGGACTACTCCATCCATCTCTGCAATGACTCAAATAACTTTATCAATAAGGTAATCTGGAATGGCAAAGAAAGCATTCTTACAGGACTCCCAGAGTTCATCAAGATACTACTGGATTCATTTTCAATGCCTCCTCCTTCATCTTACCCCAGACATGCTCAATAATGTACATATTTGGTGAATGGGCTGGCCAATCCTGGAGCACATTGACCTTCTTTGCTTTCAGGAACTTTAATGTGGAGGCTGAAGTATGAGAAGGAGTGCTGTCCTGCTGTAGAATTTCTGTTGAGGGTCTGAAACCCTCAGGTGTGTGTTAACACAATGCCCATCTCACAGCTAAAGTTTAGCCAAAATTGGGACACACAGTAAGACAATGATCCCTAGCACACCAGCAAATCTACAACCAAACAGCTGAAAAAGAAAACAAAGAAGCCTCAAAATCCAGACCTCATCCTGAGATGCTATTGCAAAAGAACTCCAGCATGAATTTAAAAACCTGCCTTCAGAACCCAAATTCTGCTCTCCACACTTCCTGAGTTCTTTATTTTCCCATAGTGCTTTGAATACACAGAAAAAGCCTGGGTCTGTCACCCTTTATAGGCATCAGTTTTCAAAAGTCTGTGTTATCATTAGGCTCATCATTTAAATGCACTGGAGGCATTGTGTGTCACTGAAGCTGACAGTAATCTGCTCTTTCATAGTCTGTGCTGGCAATGTTTAGGTGAGTTGCGAGTCTCATTTTGTCCAGTTCTCCCTCTGACAAAATCAGCAAATCAGTCGGCCTGCCCTCCACCGGGAGAGAGGCATCTGTGTGAGATAATGGCGAGTGACAGGCAACACTTCCCACTCAGTGAACACACACACACACAGCACTTGTACACACTGGGCCCTGCTGCAGCTGTCACTGCCACCCAGCTATTAAAACCAGACTGACACGGTGAAGGAAATGGCTGCATTCTCTCAGAGACCGCGAGCCGGCACAGTGACAGAAATCAGAGCACCAGCTCTTCTCGTGAAGACAATGATTTATTTAAGTGCTGAAGATCTTCCACATGCTCAGTCACTCAGTGCTTTTGCTATCATAAAATCGTAATGCGGGAAGCCTGTAATGCGTTCTGTTCTATCTATGCTGTACGACTCAATTGACAACCCATTTGCAAGTGACTAGGGTTGGGTATCATTTGACTTTGGTCAATTCCGATTACGCTTGTCGATTTTACACGTACCGATTTTGATTCTAATAGATTCAGTTTTCATTCCAATGTAATAAAAATCTCATTAATTTTTTTAAAGGTATCTGATTCTTAATCTTAAGTATCACACTCCAGAATTGGAATTGATTTTTGATTCTCAACCCTTCAAGTGTCCATTCTGTGACTGCAATAATATACTTTCAAAATGGCATTAGCAATATTTTTAAAAATAATTGTTTGTTGTTGTGTCTTTCTGCCTCTCTGTCTAGGTTTTAATTTGCTTTTTGTCTAATGCCGAGTTCAGACTGCATGATTTTAGCCCCGATTTTGGCTCGCCAACAGGTTTTGAGAAATCGGCAACAAATGCCTGAAATCACAGGCAAATTGGTGCTCATTCACGCGAGTAACAATAACACAACTATCAAAGAACTACGTGAACTATCAAAGATGTGATCTGAGAGAATCGACGATGATGACACTCGTGAGATATTTGGCATGCTGTCAGCGATTCAAATCACGCCGTGTGAAATGTGTTCTGACTGAAAATAACATTGGCGATTACCATAATATGCTATGGATTGAAAGGTTTTAAAGTGTTAGTCCATGGCATTTCGGGCTTTTGACAGCCAATGAGAGAACAGCATCCACTAGTGTGGGCATCTGCAGGCCAGCTGGAGGTTGGGGAGAAGTTAAAAGCGCTTATTTTTAGTCTATTTGGATTCAGTCTATTACATGCAGTGTGAAACCCTCTGTCGGCGATCCATCTCACGGTCATATAAATATGTAGCCTTATATGCCTTAACATTTTTGGTGTCTGTTAAGTTTTTAATATCAAACTGAAAATAGGGACTTCCTTATTTTATTTTTCATTTTATTCGTTAAGATATTGAAAAAATGTAGCCAGAGTGATGTAAATGATGTTATAAAGTACACTATTCCCTTTGAAGTTTTACTCGACATGTCCTTGAGAGTTTTTTTCCATATCAAACTTGCGAAGTCTGAACTTACAAGCAAACGACTCATGACTAAACTTTGTGTATAGGCTACTTAATATTGAAGAAAAACGCATGATTGCTGCAGCCACACCTCCGTTTTCAGATATCTCTGTTTTCCTCCATCCACACTGACATTTGAAATCCAAAACGGTCTCTTCAGCATTTCCAAAACACTCAGTTTTTGGTGTTAGAAAACTCCAGAGTAGTGTGTACTGAAGGCATAACCATAGAAAAACGTATGTATTTTAAAACAAAAACTTATTAGTGTAAACGGGGCCGGGTCACTGGTGTTCTAACAAAGAGCTGAATGAGTTTTAGAGAAAAGGACAGTATAGACAAAGTATATTCTCTCTGTCTGTCTGTATTGCTTTCCCTGTCTTTTTTTCTCTGTCATTTTGTACTTTCTGTATTGTTATAGCTGTCAGTTGGTCAATTTGTCTGCCTATTTGTCTACTAATAAGTTTATCTGTGTTATTCTATCCATCATTTATTCTATAGTTTCTAATATTGTTCTACATTTCTCACTCTCCCTCCTGATTTCTCTTTCTAGCATTCTGTTTATCGATCTGCCTGTCTAAGCTTGTGTGTGTTTGTGTGTGTGTGTGTGTCATCTTTTCCACTATAAAAATTTTTTTTACTGCCTACACTGAAAAATATATTCATTTCATTTACAAAAAATATTTTAAGATAACTGATTGCAGACATTTTATATGGGCTGAATTTAAACAAACAAATAAAATTTTGTAATATTCAACTTCATTTGTTTGTTTAAATTCAACCCATGTAAACTGTTTGCAACCACTTAACTTTAAAAAAAAAAAAGTAAATCAAATAAATCATGTTTTTCAGTGTTTTTTTCTTTCTGTTGTGCACAGTTTTGAATTGTAAATGTACAGTCACTGGCCACTTTATTAGGTACACCCATCCAACTGCTTATTAACGCAAATTTCTAATCAGCCAATTACATGGCAGCAACTCAATGCATTTAGGTATGTAGACATGGTCATATGATAATCTGCTGCAGTTCAAACCGAGCATCAGAATGGGGAAGAAATTTTAAGTGACTTTGAACGTGCCATGTTTGTTGATGCCCGACGGGCTGGTCTGAGTATTTCAGAAACTGCTGATCTACTGGGATTTTTAGCACAACCATCTCTAGTGTTTACAGAGAATGGTCCGCAAAAGGGAAAATATCCAGTGAGCGGCAGTTCTGTGGGTGCAAATGGCTTGTTGATGGCAGAGGTCTGAGAAGAATGGCCAGACTGGTTCCGGCTGATAGAAAGTCAACAGCAGCTCAAATAAACACTCGTTATAACTGAGGTATCCAGAAGAGCATTTCAACATGTCAAGCCTTGAGGCGTATGAGCTACAGCAGCAGAAGACCATACTGGGTGCCGCTCCTGTCAGCTAAGAACAGGAAACTGAGGCTACAATTTGCACACTCACCAAAATTGGATGACAGATTATTGGAAAAATGTTGCCTGGTCTGATG